CATAATTAAATTAAAATATTCTGGCCAAAACGAGGTGTTTAGACATTTAATGAATAATAAGTATATCATGTAAAAACTCGTTTATAAGTAAAACGTGTTTTCAAGAAAAATTTGTGTGGTAGAATACAATATTTATTTATTGCGCTATCGTACACAAACATGACAATTTATATGACATTAAATACGCCGAGCCCGCTGTTTACTCTCCATCCGTCTTACGAAATAATTCAATTAGGAAAATTCACTATTTTGTAAGTTGCCATTTTTTATTCGCGTCAGTCTGACCAAATCGTTATTAATAAAGCTTTAGATGTTTCGCAAAATTAAACCTTGAAGTATTTTGACTTAAGGTCCAATTCTACATGCATTAATGTATCTGAGGAAAGAGACAAATGAATTAAAACCCTAACTATATAGCACGAAGGTTCATAATCCTTAAAAAAAAACATCCGTCTTACGAATTTGTCCTGACGCAAGTTTACATTTTTTTACCCATTCCAAAAAAAGTGTACAACGCCGCCAAAGAAGTTTTCACTTCAAAAATATGCCCCATAAAATTAAACATGCCCCAATTTGTCAGCAAGATGCAATAAAGATTGGTCAATATACAATAGATAAGTCACTGTATTGTCCGTCTGTCGAACGTTATCAGGATTGAACATAGTATTCAGTGTAATATGTCCAATTTTATTGTAACAACATTTTTTATAGAACGAAAGCCTCGTTTCCGGTATTTTAGACAGCCTTGTTAGTGCCGAGATTGTTAATACATATATGTAGTGAAATTGCTATGTGTTGTATCATGTTCTGTACATTATGAATCTATAGTAATCATAATGTCAATCGAAACTGGACCAGTGAATTAATTTTATTATTATTTTGTTTAGGTCATCTTATACTTAATAAGTGCGTCTGTTAACAAGATCGTATTAAGACATCGTTAATCAAAGCCCAATTACTTTAATCACACATAGGCTCAACTAGGGTCCAATGGGAAACAATTAGCAGGTGACGTCACCTGCTGTCGCCACGTCGGCGCCCCACGCATCACTCGTAATAAAGAAATGCGGCGCCGGTGCTTACGTCTACGTGTCTCAATCACCCACTCATTCGAATGCTCTGCGTAGCTATCAGCTCCTGGTACTTTGTTTTTCTTCTATTTCTAGTTTTTATACTTTTTCTAGAGAAGTTTATACAAACTATATCAAAATCTGTTTAGTGGGTGTGTCACAGTTAAAAATATTAGATAATTAAAGTCATTAAATTAGTACACTATCCATAGATAATTTAAAAAATAATTTTGAGTTGTCACGAGTGTGTTAAATTAAATAATTATAGTGATAGCGTAAACTCTTTTCTACAAACAGTTGTACTATTGAATTTTTTATGGAGTCGCACATATTTTATCATAAATAATTCTTGGGATTAAAAGTAGTTTGTATTATGAATTTTAAGTTACGAGCGTACGAAGATTGGATTCGAAATTGGTTGTAAAATTTTTGAACCGTATCAAGCGTCGCGTCGCTTCGGGAATATTTCCATATCGAGAGCTTAAAATTTAATCTTGAAGTTTTTTCACGCTTCAATATTATGGGAAATCAGTTTTGTGACGGTTTACAAATGTGGATAAATAATTATGTTTATAGTATATATTATTAATTTATCGGAACATTTTATTTTATGTTACACTGTTGACGACACATTTTTATCCTTATATATCAAGATCAGGTCTCTGCAGTTAGGCTATGGAATTCACCTCCAGTCCCTATTCGCTTAGCTCCTTCTCTATCTTCCTTTAAATTTCTTCTGTACAAACATTACCTGTCCACATCGTATCCCAAACTTTAATAATACGTACTAACTGACGTGAGACCGATCTTAAATTAAATTATTATGATTCATGTGCACTTTTTATTATTATTTTTTTCATGTATCCTTTATTAGTTTAGTTTGTTTTTTGTTCCTGTTTAGTTTCTTTTTCTGAACAACTATGTGTAATACATGTATTTTTGCACTTCTTGCCTACCTTACGCAATTTAATACATTTTTTTTTCGTTTCTCACAGTGGTTGCCTGGAAGAGATCGCTCAAAAGCGATAAGGCCGCAAGATGCCTTTCCTTTACATGCAACAAAGTGTAAATAAATAAAAATAAAATAAATCAGTGTTGACCTTCTGGTTAAGCGTAACCCAGGCTTTGTACTAATTAAATTCTCTTCTATGTTTGCATTTAGCAGTTGCTCCTACGATGAAGGTAAACATCGTGAGGATCCGGCAGGTTTTGAGCACATGAATTGGACCATCTTGATTACCTGCCCTAAATGGCATCGGCCCATCTTCGTACCACTGGATTGTTATTATAATTATAGAAAACAAACCATAATTTCAAGAACAATTTTGCATAGTTCACAATGCCTCTTGGCTGTACTAGAACTGTGGTGGTTACCATAGTAGCGTATTCTTCATATAAAAGTAACAGTAGTCATGGTAACAACGCAGTAGCCCACGTTATAATAACGCTGAATCTGGGGTTAGGTGTCTTTTAGATGTAAATTTTACTAACAATAACAATAACTAGGAAATCACCTATCTTCTATTTATTGTCTTTTATACTTTACTAGTAAAGGGTTAAAATTACTGTCCACGAATTTATTCAAATGTCAGCGTCAACCCTACTCGACCCGACTCCAACCTGTGTCTGACAACTTTGACTGTTGATTTGTACAATTTTATTGATTCCATTTTTGGTGGTGGTCACACACAACGACAAAACAAAATCAAATACGAATTAGAGCCGATATAATTCGAATTTTAAATGTGCTATGTATAAACTCAGTACTTATTGTGACATAGTTATTGTGGCAAAGTTAAAATAGCGTATTATTGATTAAATTATGAATAAGAAATTTTAAAATTATATTAATCTTTACTGAATTACGAATATTTAAATTACCATTAATACGGTCAGTAGCGATGTTAAGTTTCTGTTATCGCAGACGTCGAATATAATTTATAATAAATTCAAATTCACATCAATTGGTAAAATCTATAATTTGTGGATGTGTTTTAATGATAAGCCTAAACTAATGAATTCTCAGTTTATTATGGAACGTTAAATATACGCTTAATCATTTTCTTAAAGAGATAGAGAGAGAAATGGTAAAAAAAGAATATTATCAGTGTCGTATTTACAATCTTGTTTCAATACTTCTTCTATACATTTCAAGCGGTTTAATGTTCTACTTAACAAATACGTTTTTTAATTAATTACATAATAATAATATTTATACGCAAATGCAAAGTGCTACAAAATTCACGCTAATTATGTTAAATTTGATATCTGATTTAATTCAAATGCTTGATTTCCATACTTATGAATTAATTGCTATTTGAATTATATGTTCGATTGGATTTGGGATCTTGCGTTTAGTTCTGCGCTCACTCAGCTGAGCATAGCTGCTATGTTTTTCATAGAGAAATCATCGTCTTTAATATTCGTTTTGACATAATACTCCGGTAGTAGTTTCTCTATATATAGGAAAAGAATTTCACTTGGGCCAGTACATTGCATCTCGTGGAGATTGGCTGGGACGTATTCAATTCACAGTGCCCTATCTACTTGCTATTAGCTAACTTTAATGCCAGACGCTACATTCTGAGACTGATCTAAATGAACTTCTGCATCTTATTCAGTGTTCACGCGCACAGCTACGCGTGAACATCCCTAGCATGAGGGAACGGCGATGGTCTATGGACCGCGTCCCATCCCTAAGAAGCCCGGCGGGGAGCGCGAGGGGAGGGACCGAGCAGGAGTGCACGCGCCGGACGCGTCACTAGCCACCACCGCACGCTACTGAGCACACGCGCTCTTACAACGATAATTTGTACCTTGTTACGTTATACAACTTAGTTTAAATGTTTTAAAGAACCTAACATGTAAAATAGTTTTTGTTTAAATAAATCACAAACAAAAAGTGGCGACCGTGACAGGACAAGGAGGATCCAGGAGGACGGACGCGGCCATCACCAGACATACAAGATCGCCAGTTAAGTAGTGCCATCCTATCCATTCTTTTTACAAAATACTTTCCTCCTTCGATTTGTATCGAAGCGAGCTCAATATCTGCGTGATTCGCTTACAATAGCATTTCAGTGTGAGCATGGGCTCTTGCCTACCGAGTTTTGGTCCTTTATCACTACTCGTGCATGATTGCCACGTGCGTGACACTTTATTATTTTCCAGCAAATTATTTCGTAAGTTCATTATCGTAGTATTTCCATCATTGCTAGCTTGCAATAATTTGTATGGCGTAAAATCTTTTCTTAGGCTACGCCATCTTTGATATTTGATTTGGTACATTGCGCAATAGCACGTTTTCTCGGGACGCGCTTATTCAATGCTAATAATTTTCCTAATGCTAAAAGCGCGAGCTTCCTAAAATCATCATTAGCATTGCAAACATCGGGATTCTTAATTAAGGTGGGTGTGGCTAGTCATCATTTTATTACATGTATTTACTTAATCCATTAAAATACATGTAATCGTTAAACATAAGGCCTTAAAATTGCCAAAAAACTTAAAATTAATGTCTAATAAACCATTCTCTCATAATATTTTATTTTTTCATGCCTCAATTTTTATGCTAAAATCTCTAGTGTCATAAATCGCCATTATTCCAACAAGTGTTTCTTCGTACGTTATTCACGTGAAACCCCGGTGAATTCCAGGATTGATCATCTTCCTGCTCAGTGGACATTACAGCCTGCCTATCACGTGGCTGCCCTGGGTGCATCGTGCCGTCCCGGGTTGTACCGAGCTCGATGTACTGAGCTGCCACGTGCAATATCGCGAGGACTTGACCACCGTGTCAACTGGTTTGGTGCACAGATTACTTTCTCTAATTGATTGTTTGCCTTTTTTTTGAATCGTGTTTATCACAAACGTACCCCATTCTCGTACATACCTAAGTTCGTACCTAGGTACTTAATTTAAATTCGAATCATGTCTAAAGCGGATGCTGCTGATAAGTTTGAAGGCGAAGGCTCTTCTAGCGATTCAATCGAGTTTCAAAGGCTGATTAATCTGCGCCGGTCAATGAAGGGACGCTTAACTAAATTCGAAAATCACATAACACCTTTAACATCTGTGAAACCAGGTGATCTAAGTAGTATACAGGTCAAGGAACTAATCAATCGCCTAAACAAGGTACAGTCTATGTTCTCTGAGTTCGATGAGGTAGAAAATAGGTTAGAAGCTTTGAATGATGATTCTGATGAACGTGATGATATCGAGGATAGGTTTTTTTCGTTGATATCTCTTGCTCAGGAGTTAATAGAGTCATGTTCCAAGTCTGATTCCAAACAGAGACCGAGTAGTGCTCTTTCACACCGGTCTGGTGGCAGTTGTGACCACTATGCAATCAAACTACCTACTATCAAGCTGCCTACCTTTGACGGGAACTACCTTAAGTGGCTTGAATTTAGAGACACATTCGAGTCCATGATCAATCAAAACGATTCAATTTCGGAAATAAATAAATTTCATTATTTGAGATCATCTTTAGAGGGAGGTGCAACTGTAGTCATAAAGTCAATTGAGTTCACTTCCAAAAATTATAGCTTGGCATGGAATCTCTTGTGTGAACGTTACGATAACAAAAACATTTTAATCAATAACCACATAAAAGCGTTATTTAGCATGGATCCTTTATTCCGTGAATCTCACAAGGCTATTAGATATTTAATAGACACTTTCTTAAAGAACTTAAGAGCTCTCGAGAACTTAGATCAACCAACTGACAAATGGGACGTTCTCATTTGTTTCATTATTTGCTCAAAATTAGATTCAGTCACCTGCAGGAAGTGGGAAGAGCATAAAAATACCTTGCCCAACTTACCGTCATTAGCAGACATGATTCTATTTCTTCGAAACCGTGCTGACATTCTTGAGACGATGTCTGCCAATAGCACTGAACGATCTAAACCTGAACCTAAAGTAGTAAGGAGTAGTGATAATAAGAGCGCGTTCATACCACGAAGCTCGAAAAGTTTCGTTTCGTCATCAAGCTCTAAACGCAAAAACATTCATAATTGTCCAATGTGTAAGCATCAGCATAGTATAGTACATTGCAACGTCTTTAAAGATTTACCTCTTAAAGTTCGGTTAGACGAAGTCGTAAAATTAAACCTTTGCTCGAACTGTCTCAGGAGGGGTCACGTTGTGGAAGACTGTCGCCTTCAAAGTACTTGTAGGGAGTGCGGAAAACGACATAACACGCTCTTGCACTCAGTTAGTGAACCAGCCGTCAAACCCGCAGCCGTTGAATCCACATTAACTTCAACAAATTCTGTGTCACTGTCCGCACAGTCTTCTAATCAGCAGGTTCTTCTATGCACTGCATTGGTCAGGGTCACTGATCCACAGAGTAAAAATACTCACCTTGCTCGAGCTCTGCTTGATGCAGGAAGTCAGTCATGCTTCATATCTGAAACCCTGAAACATAAAATGGGTATAATCAGTAATAATACAGATTCTTTATGTATATCTGGCATTAATAACGTAAAAGTTCCTATAACTGACAGCTGCGAGCTAGCCATAAGCTCACTTCACCAGCACTTTAAGGTCAGTCTTAAAATGTATGTAGTACCTCAAATAACTGGCTACTTACCTAATGCTCCCATCAATGTTCACGAACTTAACTTACCAGTTAATATTCAGTTGGCAGATCCTAAATTCTATGTTCCTTCTGACGTTGACATACTGTTGGGGGCTGGAGTCTTCTTCGACGCGATCTCTCCAAAGCAGATCAAATTAGGACAACATAAGCCCATTCTTCAAGAGTCAAAATTCGGTTGGCTAGTGGCAGGTCCTCTTCATAGTTACTCTCATAAACAAAGTAACGTCATTCATTGCAATTTCACCAAGGAAATTAGCGACAACTTAACGAAGTTCTGGAATCTTGAGGAGCTTCCACTTTCAGAACTCACTATGTCACCTGAGGATGAATTTTGCGAACATCATTTTCAGGAAACAACGAAACGTCTAGATAACGGGCGGTTTTGTGTAAAAATGCCTTTTCGGGAATCACCAGAGCAAGCGCTTGGTAATTCATACATGATGGCCGAAAAGCGCTTCTTAAATCTTGAGAAAAAACTTGATAAAAACTCTGATCATAAAGACAAATACACTCAATTCATAAAGGAATATGAAAGGCTTGGTCATTTATCTAAAGTAGACAGACCATCATTTGGGTACTTCCTACCACATCATTCTGTAATTAGAGAAACCAGCGAAACAACAAAAGTTCGTGTAGTTTTTGATGGATCCGCTAAAACTTCTTCAAAGAAATCACTTAATGACATTCAATATACAGGCCCTGTAGTACAGGATGAACTGTTTAATATCTTGATTAGATTTCGTCAACATAGGTTCGTCCTTACAGGTGACATAATGAATTTTTATCGACAGTTTTCTATAGATCCCTCTCAAAGGCATTTACAGCTGATCATCTGGCGAGACAACAAGGTTCAGCCCCTTGAGATTGCGGAATTACAAACTGTAACCTATGGCACAAATTCTGCCCCATTCCTAAGTACTAGATGTCTCAAACAGCTTGCTTTAGAATGCAATGATCCTATTGTCTCAGAAGTTATTCAAAAGGATTTTTATATTGATGACATGTTGACCGGGTCATCTTCCGAGCATGAATTGCATCATATCTATAGAAAAGTCATAGAAGTTCTTAACTCGGCATGTTTGCCTATCCATAAATTCCGAACTAACTGTCCTCAGATATTTCAACACAACACTGAAACTCAAGGCCTTGATCTTTGTAAAGAGTCTAGTGTATTGGGTGTCTTGTGGGCCCCGGACACTGACACATTACGCTTCACCCTAAATGTTGATTGTACTCAACAAAAGGTCACCAAAGGAGTAATTTTATCAAATACGTGTAAAATCTTTGACCCGCTGGGGTTAATCAGTCCCTGCACTATTGCTTTAAAAATTTTGCTACAAAGGTTGTGGCTCCTCAAGCTTGATTGGGACGATCCAGTCCCCACTGAAATAAATAATGTGTGGAAAAAGATGATAGGTAGCCTTAACTCTTTACTTACAGTTAATGTTCCCAGATTCGCGCTATGCGCTTCACCCATTTCCACAGAGCTTCACTGCTTTGTAGACGCATCCCAGAATGCCTACGCTGCCTGTCTCTACCTACGTTCAGTGGACCCCAAAGCATAATATCCACTGCATTACTCTGTGCAAAGACACGTGTTTCCCCGATAAAGCCATTAACAATACCGCGTCTTGAGCTATGCGCGGCCTTACTCGGAGCTCGCCTCACAGCTAAGGTGACGAGTGCTCTTCGGTGCGATATTGATTGTACCTATTATTGGTCTGATTCCACCATAACATTAGCGTGGATAAATTCACAACCTCAGCTTTTGAAGGCATTCGTGTGCAATCGAGTAAACGAAATTCGTGAGCTCTCAGCTCAATCTCTATCATCGTGGAGATACGTACCCACAGCTATCAATCCCGCCGACATGGCTTCGCGAGGTCTAGAACCTAGTAATTTATCAAAGTCTGATTTGTGGTGGCGCGGACCCTCCTTCCTTCTAAGTCAGGAAACGGAGTGGCCACAACCTCCTAAATCTAAAATTAATTTATCAGAATTGAAAAACAATATTCAAGTTCATAATGCATTAAACACATCTACCTTTGTTGACTTTGCTAGGTACTCAAACCCCAATCGGTTAATAAGAATATATGCCTACGTATTAAGATTTATAAGTAATTGTAAAAATAAAAATAAAAATGTTAGTCCCTTGTGCAGTAAGGAACTCAACGATTCACTCGAGCTACTGGTTAAAAATTCTCAGTATGAATCATACTCATTAATAATAAATACCTTGAATAAAGGAAATAAACTCAAACCTAAATGTTCAATTTTGCAGTTAGCTCCGTTCATTGACCAAAGTGGAATATTGAGAGTAGGTGGTCGTCTTGATAATGCGACACTTTCTTTTGAACAAAAACATCCGGCTCTGCTAGATAGTAAACATCATTTTACGAAAATACTCATGAGACACGAACATGCTCGTCTCTTTCACGCCGGCCCTCAGCTGCTCCTTAGTTCATTTAGAAAACAATACTGGCCTATAGGCGGTAGAAATTTAGCACGCAGTACAGTTCGAAAATGTATTGTTTGTACAAGACACAAGGCCAAGACTATGGAGCCATTCATGGGAAACCTTCCTTCTAATAGGGTTTCACAATTTTATCCCTTTCAAACTTGTGGTGTTGATTTCGCGGGACCGTTCATGATTTCCAATAAAATCGGACGTGGTAATAAAATCTCAAAATGTTACCTATGTTTATTCATTTGTTTTTCTGTTAAAGCAGTCCATTTGGAAACGGTCAGCGATCTCAGCACTCAAGCGTTTATTTCTAGCCTAAAGCGATTTATCGCTAGAAGAGGCAAGCCTGATAACATTTGCTGTGATAACGGTAAAAACTTCGTGGGGGCCAACAATGAATTAGGTAGGGTAATGCGGTCAAGCCTTCGTGATCTTAAAGATTATTCCGCAAATGAGGGCATTAAATTCACCTTCAACCCACCTTATTCACCTTCACTCGGAGGTCTATGGGAGGCCGGCATAAAAAGCGCAAAGCATCACTTAAAGCGCATAGCGGGGGAATACAGCATTAACTTTCGAGGAGTTGAGCACGCTTTTACGCAAATCGAAGCGATCCTCAACTCCCGACCCCTTACTCCTTTAACATCTGACCCAAACGACCTTTCTCCTCTCACCCCAGGGCACTTCATCATCGGACGGCCGCTGACGTCACTGCCATCACCTCCGGCATCCGACTTGAAGACACGCATCCGCTGTCGATACCGAATGATCGAGGGACTGCGCCAACACTTCTGGGCACGGTGGAGAAACGAATACCTACTAGAACTCCAACAGCGGTACAAAGGACGCCATCATGAGCGAAATCTTCAAGAAGGAGACCTCGTCGTCTTCAAGGAAGATGGTCTCCCTCCTCTCAAATGGAGAATCGGACGAGCCGTGCGTCTTTACATGGGCTCTGACAACGTCTGCAGGGTGGCCGACTTCACGACGTTCCGAGGAATTGAACGACGAGCCGTAAACAAGGTCTGCCTACTACCACTTGAGGATATCAACACAGAAGAGGAGAACAAGGATCTTGAAAGTTGATCTTTGATGATCACGCGCACAGCTACGCGTGAACATCCCTAGCATGAGGGAACGGCGATGGTCTATGGACCGCGTCCCATCCCTAAGAAGCCCGGCGGGGAGCGCGAGGGGAGGGACCGAGCAGGAGTGCACGCGCCGGACGCGTCACTAGCCACCACCGCACGCTACTGAGCACACGCGCTCTTACAACGATAATTTGTACCTTGTTACGTTATACAACTTAGTTTAAATGTTTTAAAGAACCTAACATGTAAAATAGTTTTTGTTTAAATAAATCACAAACATTCAGTCTTGGCTTTTAGCTTAATTGGAAAAGTATTTTTTATTATGCTTACCTTAAGTGTAATTGCTGTTTACGAATTAAAATATAGCGGCGCAAAAGTAATATGTAAAATGGACACTAAGATCTTTGCGTAGTTGCATAGAGATGTGGGGACTCTCTGAATCTCTCGCATTTCCCATAGAGAGTGTTCAGAGGAAATGTTCGGATTAATGCCTGCAGCTGAGTTTCATCGTCGTTCCACAACTAGTATGAGGAACCAGCTACCCGCTGAAGTATTTCCTAACCAATTCGACTTAGGGTCCTTCAAGAAAAGAGCGTACCGATTATTTAAAGGCCGGCCACGAACTCGCGAGGCATTGGCATTGAGAGTGTCCATGAGTGGCGTTATCACTTAACATCAGATAAGTCTCCGGCCGGTTTGACCCCAGTCCAAAAAAAATATATTAACAAGACTGCATGCATGACTTATAATGTAAAGTAATGTTTTATACCGAAATTCTATATTTTATTGATATTTTCTTGAGATAAATAGATTGTCCAAACTTGCAACTTCCGAGAAATAAATAATTCCGAGAATTAATGCTAGTATAGTTAAGGAATAGAAGTCTATTTCTGCCAATACCACTGAGTTGTACACAAACACGTAGCAGCACCTGGGATGTTACAAGTTGGAATTCTGAGCCGACATTTATTGACCTATGAAAATATACCTTATATTGCGTCCTGTCCTTTAAGAATTTCAAACGTGGTTTGCGTGTCCATGTTTCATTGCGGACTGAATATATTCTTTATCTGAGATAAGGTTCTGCTGTTGTTCTCATTTTAGGAAAAATTATAGTGGTAGAATGAGAAGTGATTCTATCTATTAAAGATAATGAAATGGACTAGGAACTACATCGTAATGAGTGATAGAACAATCTTCAATAGATAGACAGATTTAAAAATATGTTTTTGATTTATTTTTCATATTGTTTGCTTCTATAATATTGTCAGCTGTGGCTTGCACGTGGAGTGTAGCCGAGTTTACCCTCCCCCTTAATAATTATTTAGGTAGAGTAGATTAGTAGACTATTTTATATAACTTGCCTTCAAAAATGATAAATAATATCTATAAACTTGACTTCTCTGACTTTTACAAAGATAAATTACATAATTCAACTATGCGCATCACAGTACAGTGAAGATGACTGCTATTATCGCATTTAGTATATTATAGAATGCGCATTAAAGCCGAAAGCTTACCGCATTTTCACTTTTCCAATATTACCGATGTGTCGCACGTCCAAAATCTTCAAATAATTTCCCAGTGATCAGTAACTTGTAGCGCATTGTTTCGGCTCCGTACGAACGGGGAGCTTGCCAACTGCCTAGCTATCTTCGGTACCACTCGAGGCCCGTAATTTATAGCTAAACTTGCCAAACCGCCCCTAACCAGGCTTTTGATTCAAACACGTCTTTTGCTACTTTAAATTGTATTTAAATTGGTCTTTATGTTCTTGCCAAGTGGAGTATAGTGTGATATGAAAAGCGATTCAGCCATATCACTTCGTGAGTTTGAAAGTTGAAACTATTTGTCCACATTTGTGATTATTTATAAAGCTTATTAAAGAACTTTGAAAATGTTACAGAATTTTCTCAATAACAGCAGTGCAATAATCTTTTTGCGATCCATCTTACGCTTCTTAAAAACACGTTCAGTACGGCTGTTCGAAGGAATGGTCGCCCTACCAAACGGTTTGACGCACTAAATCGCATCGCAGTTTTGTGTGGGAGCCCTAATAGTGACTTGACCTCATAGCGGGTACAGTGAAATTGATATGACAAGTCTACGTCAGTAGAAAGAAGTCTTGAATGACGGCTCATATGTGCAAGACGCGTTTCATCTCTGTCTAATATCATCATTTGAATCTTTGCCCAACCTAACAGCCGTATTTTAATCTTTGTCTCTAGTGTGGAGTGTATATTGATTCTCCCGCGAACAATTGGTGTTTTTATATTCTATTTTCAAATCGGAAGCAATTTAAAAGATACTTTGTATACTTTGTGTACCTTGTGTACCTATCTTTACTCACAGTTTCAACATTACATGCGTGGATACGTTATCAATATTTTTTTTATTTTTTTATTTAATTATAAGTAATCTTACAGCTAACATACATAATATTACAAAACAAACACTTATACAGTACAAAAAGCCAAAACAGATTACATAGATAAACAATATTATATAAGAAAAATGAAACAAATAAGCGCATCAATAGACAAAAATATATACAGAAAACTGAAATAATAATACCAAATACAACCTAAACAAAATTCGAGTCTTCCCGCCCCTTCAAATATTTTCTCACATGTTCTTTGGTGAGGTGGAAAATATCAATATCCTTATAATTAGTGTCATAGTTAGATAAAACCCGAAACATTGGTGAATTATGCAGGTAATTCGAGTTCGTACGAGGCACATGGAACAATTTTGTGTGTCTTGTCGCATATGGAGAAGGAATTTTAAAAGAAATTAACGATAGCAAATAGGGGCTATCGATCCGCCCATTAAGAATAGCATGTAAAAAAAGCAGGTCTTGCTGACTTCGCCGACTTTCTAATGAGTCTAAATTAAAATAATTGCAAGAATGTGCATGCATAACTATCGAAGCATTGGTATTTTTTAAAACTAAGGAATTTTACAAACTTTTTTTGTATATTTTCTACTGCTTTTTTATACTTTGTATAATATGGAGACCACATAACACCCGCATACTCCAGCACGCTTCTAACATAAGCAAAATATAAGCTTTTAATGCAATGTATGTTATTAAATGTCTTGCATGACCGCTTGACAAATCCTAGTTGCATATACGCTTTGCCTGTTATGTCATCGATATGTTGTGATAGGCCCATTTTTTCATCTAATAGTATTCCCAGGTCTTTTACTAATTTTACTTGTTTTATTGGGGTGTTATCGATTTTGTAAGTGTATTGAATTTTTTTGTTTTTACGCGAAAAAGTTATCTTATTACATTTGTTTATATTTATTGAAAGTTTATTTTGTTTGTAGTATATTTCTAACCTATTAAGATCTTGTTGAATTTGATTACAGTTATCTATTGATTTTATTCTTAAGAAAATTTTTTGGTCATCCGCGAACATAAGATGTTTAGAAAAGTGAAAACAATATTTTATATCGTACAAATAAGCATTAACCCTTGGGGTACTCCTGATGTAATGTTAGTGAACATGCTTTTGTACCCGCATATTACTGTTGCTTGCCGTCTGTTGGTTATGTATGACTTTATCCATCTGTAAAGGTCACCACGTATTCCAAGGTAGAAAAGCTTATGTAACAGGATAATATGATCAACGCGATCAAAAGCTTTTTCTATATCCGTATAGATAGCGTCAATTTGGTCACCCTCATCCATACCTCTCAGTATATAGTCAGTGAAAATAGTCAAATTAGAAACTGTTAAGCGATTTTTAGTAAAGCCGTGTTGTTGCTCCGGTAGTTGTTTAGTGATTAATGGACTTATAACATTATGTACTAGTTTTTCGAACAGTTTGCTAAAAGAGTTAAGGATTGAGATAGGTCGATAATAGTCAATTTTGTTTTTGGAGCCTTTTTTATGAATTGGAACTACATGTGCTTCTTTCCATTTTAAAGGGAATGCACAGAATGTGTTAAGGGACAGATTATATATATGTGATAGTGGTGCTGCAAGTTCCTTACTACATCTTTGTAGGAAAACTGCAGGTATTCCGTCACTACCTGGACCCTTGTTTATATTTAAATTTTTTATAGCTTTAAAGACGTCGTGTTCCGTTATGTGAATGTTATTATACATGATATCTGACTCAGGTAGTTCAGGTAGGTCATAAGTATCGTCAGGAGAGTGGAAGACGCTGTTGAAGAATTTATTAAAACCATCACAAATCTCAGGCTCCGATTTATAGGACTCATCACCAAGAACTAGCATGCTAGGGTACCCAGATTTACATTGCCTCTTGTTTCTTACGTATGACCACAACGCCTTAGGGTTTTTAGCCATGTTATCTTGTACATACTGTTCATAAGATAGCATGCACTTTTTGGATATACGCTTTTGCCTACTACGTAACAATGAGAATTCGTCGTAGTCTCGCGGGTTCTTGTACATTTTCCAACGTTTGTGCGCTTTTAGTTTTTCTTTTATAACGTGTATCAGAGACTTAGTGTACCACACGGGGTACTTATTATTACATTTATTACGGCTTATTGGGACATTGTTTATAATAGTTCTATTCACAATATCATAAAATTTTGTTGTAACTTCATCTATAGTGTCTCCATTAAGATGCTGCGTCCAGTTGACCTCGCTTAGTTCCTGATTAATAGCATCGTAATTACCGCGATAGAAATTATACTTTTGACTAACTTTTGGAGACATTTTGCGCAGAAGTAAGTCAGTTGCATCAATACTTAAACAGGGGTGATGCATATCGGGCTTAACCAATGCTATGTCAGCTCTGGTATTATCTAGAGAGACATTACTTAATATTAAATCCAACACATTGTTACAAATATTGGGAATAAAATTATGTTGTGTTAGGCCAGAAGAATTTAACTTTTTTATGAAATCTTCGGAGATTTCTTGTAACTGGGTCGTACCCTGCTTTAAAATAATAGGTCCCGTGGGAGAAGTCACCAACGATTATGAAGTAATCATTTGGGTTTGATTCAATT